CATGCCGCAATCCCTTCTCCTCCATTCTCCTCTCGGGATCTTGGGCACACACGCACACACACCCGGCGTGAGTTTTAAGCCACCGGGTACAGGACGCAAACCGTGCTGGACTATGTGGGAGTCCAGTGACATAGCCATTACGCTAACTGCTGGTCCCTGTTCTTACCATTTTCTGAGACAATTTCCCCATTCATGGGTACTTAGATAGTTCAAGAAGAGTGCTGATGCCATGATGCCAGTCCAGAAAACTATATAATATTGTTTTGATTTTTTCAATGCAGTTTAGCAGTATGGAAAGAGCTACAGTTAACAGTGTATTAAAGAGCTAAAGCTAACAATGTATCAGTCATATATTTAAACCTGGAATTTGATGGAACATATGTTAAAATGTAAAATAGAAATGCTTTTAAGATTTTTATAAGTTTAGAAATTTTTGACAAGAAAACATACATTTTTTAAAGAATTATTTTATTTAACATGATTCATTATTATTATTTTCCAAGTTGATCAGAGACAGAGATGGAAAGTGAGAAAGCAAACCTCCAGGTGCAGGACTTGAACTGTGATCAACCATGTAAGAGTCCAGCACCTTTTACCACCATTCCACCTGCTGGCCCCTGAAACATACATTTTTAAATAGGAACTTTTATCACAACATGGTCTGCTTTTATAACAGTACGTTGTCTTCTACCATCCTATCTAATTATTGTCACTCTATTTCTCATATTGAAATGCAAAAAAAGTGGCACCAGCAGTTTGCGTAATGGCTATGTCGCTGAACTCCCATGTAGTTGCCCGCGGTTCGAGTCCCTGACCTGGTTGCTTAAACTCATGCCAGGTGAATGTGCGTGCATGCCCAAGATCCCAATAAGAGAATGGAGGAGAAAGGATTGCGACGTGGCCACCCCTCCGGGGGGTGATTTCTCACTTTCTATCTCTCTGTCTCTTTCTCCCTCTTTCTGGCAAGTGCACGTGCCCTATAGCAAAAACCTCTAAAAAAAGAAATGCAAAAAAATGTGAATTTTGTGTTGAGGTAGACAACTGATCAACTTTCACCTGCTAATAAACAAAAATTTATTAACTGCTCATTGACTTACATATCTTCATTGGGAGCACTATCTTATACCACTCCAGTGCTTTATACTTGACGGCAGTCTCTTATTTTTTGTTTTAAAATTTAAAAAGAAGGCACAGCCATAGTGGTATGTGCTGCCAAGATGCTGTGTTCTTCAGTCTGTGGCCACATGAGAGACCTGGGTTTGATTACTGAGCCAATCTGAAGGCTGGGTGAGGTGGCATACACCTGTTATCCAAGCAACTCTGGAGGCTGAGGCAGGATCACGAACTCCAGGCTGCCCTGGGCAACATACGAGACCCTATCTGAAGAAAGGGTCCCAGGTAGAATGATGAGAAATGAAGATCAAGACACAGGGAGACCTATTGCAAGAAAAATAAAAACGGGCCAGCAACTGGTGCAGCAATTACATCACTGGACTCCCCCATGCCTGACAGCAGTTTGAGCTGTACACCCAGTGGTGAGAAAATCACACTGGGAGTATGTCCATGTGGGCCCAATATCCCAGGAGGAGAGGAATTATGGCATGGCTAGCCTTCCTGGGAGGGTGAGTTTTTACTTTTCCTTTTACTATCTCTGTCTCTGTCTCTTTCTCTCTCTCCAGCAAGCACATGTATTCCAAGGCACAAACCTGTTTAAAAAAAAAAGAAAAAAAAGAAAAAAGAAAAAGAAATCCCCCCCCCCCCAAAAAAAAGAATATGGCCATACCTTACCAATCATTCCCTCTGTTTCCTCATTAAATAGAGAACAATTTTATAATTGGAGTTTCTTTCTCTTTTAAAAATCCTATTGGTAATTATGTCTTATGAATTAATTGTTATTGTTTATTAGAATTATTGAGTTAATACTTGATAAGAAACTTCTATGAGCAGTCAGTCTCTTTCAATATATCAGTTTTAAAATAGTTGTCAACTGTCCACCTAGATCGAAACACAGGTAATATGTAAACACCAAAAATCAGAAATAATTGACAGTAGCTGCAAGAATAAATAAAATACTCATCTCTCAGGGGAATAACCAAGAGAGGCAATTTTGTAATTCTGCTGATTTTTTTCCATTTCCTCCATGCTCATTTTTGTCTTGTCAGAAACAACTATTTGTATTATCAGTTTGTCTTCTTTCTAATGGCAGAAAAAATACAAATAGTATCTCTATCTGTGTATCTAGCTCTCTACACATAGGTAAGTATCTAGAAGATACCTCATTCAACCAAAGCTTCCAGTTTTTAAGAAATTAACTACAAATTATCTCCATCTAAGATGATTTTTTTTATTATTTTGGTTTCTACTAATATTTTATTTTTTTATTTTGAGAGAGAATTTTGCTGTTAGGACACATACACTCACCAGAGAAACAGAGAGAAAAGGCAAGACGTCACCCCCAGGGAGATGGTCACACTGCAATGCCTTTTCCTCCATTCTCTTCCTGGGATCTTGTGTGGGCATGCATGCACCCGTGCCTGGTGTGAGTTTCAAACCATTGAGTCTAGGACTTGAACTGTCATTGGCCATGTGGAAGTCAGCTCTTAACCACGATGTCACTTGCTCTCCCCAATTCCTACTAACATTTTTCTCCACAGATTAACAATGTTACTTTCTTAAACCCTGAATCAACATTTATGTGTATTCTTATTTTTTATTATTTGGATACACAGACCATCTCACTAAGAGAGTGATTTGGGCTTTGAAATGTGAGACTGCATCTTTTAATTAAAATGGCATTAAAGTTGCTGATTGGATGGGATGTGTAATAAGACATACTTGGCATATATCATGATTCAGCACCAATTAGCAATATGACCAGAAACAATATACCAATATGTATAAATTCTTTACAATTTGGTAAATATCGATATTGATAAAGACAACATATATTTATGACAAAAACCTATAGGGTGGAGTGACCTTGAAAATTGATCAGTCTAAGGATTAGAGAACAATTGTTAGGACTGCCTGAACTACTCTATAACATGGGAGAAGATCAAACAAATTCTATTTAAGTATCAAGAACTGTGGATTCAGCTTTTATTCACGCTATATACTCATTGTAAATAATATACATATTTTTAAAAAAATGACATGGTTGTTGGCTTTCAATTCAGATAAACAGCATAATGAATCCTTTGCTAATGTAAATGTGAGATGAATTGTCTTTCTTTAACTTGCAATATCATGTAAGTAGTTTTCAAACCTGTTTAACCATACAGGTCCTTAGTGGCTTTCATATTTATACAAAACTACTATCCCCCCAAATTTACATAAATCGTACAAATAGGTTGCCTTGATTTTTAAAACTATTTTGTGCTGATTAACAATAAATCTGGGGCCACTCCATGATTTTGTGGATAAGTCAGCTGGATGCCATGTGTCTGACTGCATGGTTTGAGTTCTGGACCTGGTGGCATTCCAGGTACATGTGCATGCATGCCAAAAATCCTGAAGAGTGGGAAAGATGGAGGAGACAGGATTACAGCCTGGTCTTGCCTCATTGTGGGTGCTTTTTCACTCTGTCTCCAACAAACTCACATGCCTTCTATTAAATTTTTATAAAATAAATATAATTTATAAAATACAATTTTTTCATTATTCTTGTTTAGAGTTTTGGCAGGAATTCTTTCACATAACATGCTTTAAAAGTTTGCTTGGCCATTCTAGTTATTTTTTTAAAATATATATATTTGGTTGACAGCTTGAAAGGAGTGACCAGTGGTTTTCTTACTTAACAGGACTTTCTTACTGGGCCATCAGTGCCCTATGTGAGTCTATCTGTACCTGGTGGGATAACCCATGCCAAAGATCATTTTTGTGTTTTTATGAAAAGATATTTATCATCTATTGTTTAGTCACAAAGATTATGACTTCTTTTGAACTACACAGTTATGCATGTGTATGTTATCGTGCAAATGGAGGCACTGATATAGGAAAGTGTTTGCTGATTGACTCACATCCATGCCCACAAACTTCATCACAAGAGTCCCAGTGAAGGGTCAAGGAAGGCCTAGATTGTGGAAGACCAGTCACTGGAGGATGATCTGCATGAGGCCTAGAACCAGGATCCTTTTCTTTACAATAGTTTGTTTGTTTGTATACCCAATGTACATTTATATAAAATACTGCTATGTTTCTCTTTAAAATATGCTTCTTTTTAAAAAGATACTGTTACATTTTAAAAAAAAAAGATACTAAGCATATAAAGAATTATATATATATATAAACATAAATAGACTAGTAGGACAGCTGGTGGTGTAATAGTTAGGGTGGCTAGATCACACATGGCCAACTGTGTGGCTTCAGTCCTGGACCCAATGGCTTGAAAAACTAGCCAGGTGTGTGTTCATGCATGTCCAAAATTCCAAGAGGAGAATGTAAGAGAAGGGATTGGAGATGTGACCATCGCTCCCGTGGAGTGCTTGCTTACATTTTCTCTCTCTCTCTCTCTAACAGGCACACGCACCCAACAGAAAATGTAAAAATGAGTAAATAAAGAGGCTGGGTGAATAGCAATATTCAATATGTGAAATTTTATGTAAAAAAAAAAATACACACACCTACAGTAACTTCAGCAATGTTTATTATCCTTTAGCTGCTTTTACTGACTTCAGAACATCGGGACAGATCCTAGGTGACAACTTCAGTTCACTAAAGGCAAGCTATATTCTGATCTCCAGTACTGCTAGTGCACACTCAGATAAGAACATTATTATTGTGTGTAATGAGAGAATCTCCCCTTGGTAGTAAATTACCCACAGAAAATGAAGATATTCTTCACCTTATTTCTACTTTGAAATGCAAATTTGTTTAGTAATGACAATCATTATGATGCCCAAATGGGGCAGTTATCTAATTTTACAACGATGAAATAAATCATAGTAAAAATGAATACCCCATTGTAAATCATCATATTTTTATGGGTTTATATGGTTGTGAAAGATAGCTTGGTACACAAATTAAATTTGGACAGTGGGCCTAAGAAGCGTAAGGAGTGAGTCCCAGTTCTGTTGGAAGCCTGATAGCTTCAGTCAATTTTGTTAAATTTCCAGTGCTTCAGCTGCCTCTGTCATAAAACGGTGATGTTGTTAAGCCTAGTGATGAAGATCAAAGAAAAAAAATACAATTTAAAAATTATAAACCATTATACAGCTGATACTTGTTTGTTTTACTTAGGACTTTAGAGTGGGTAGATGAAAAGGTTTTGAAATATCTTTAATAAGCATCTATAGCACTTTGTCTTTTAACAAATAGCTTTTTCCAGCACTGTTTATGTGAGAGTATTACCTTGGGAGCCGGCACTCTTGGTGCTATGGAATATGGAATGACGTGTCTCGACTCTGTTCCCTTCGTTCTGGCCAGTCCTTTAGTATGACCCAGGTATGCCCCTCCAACTTTGGTGTTGTCATCCATGCATCCCAGGAAGCTTTGCTCAGTACCAGAAGCAACAGCAATTTGTCCAGCATTCTGTTAGTTCTCTCATTTATATGCACTTTCTAAAGGGCTTGCTATTTTCTATTGGAATGTTCACTACATAGAGGTAGTAAATGAAAATGTCTTAAAACTACCAACTCCACACTTTTTCTTTTCCCTGCTGAGGTGATGGTGGTAGTTGGTGATTAGTTGTGTGGGTGTGCTGGTGGTAGGGAACAGTTTATTCCATTTTAACAGAGACCTTCAGTCCTTTGAGAATACCATACTACCTAGGTTCCCAGTGCGTGTGTAAGGAAACATCTGCTTTTTGCCTTTTTTTGTTAGTTATCCATTTTTTCTTCACATCCTTTCTAGGAGATTGCTATAATGTGATAATCACATAGCAACTGCTCTGAACTGTGAATCGAGGATCATGGGCCACTCCCAGCTAGCATTCATTTCAGAGGAATCAACCCTGCCTTCCAGGACCAGGAAGTGAATTTTACTTCCCTCTTTCACTTCATTGTTTTGTTTTCCATCTTTCTTCTGTTAGTGGTTGAGATTTTAGCATCTGCATCTTTTCTAACATTCACGTTTGCATTTGTTTCTAAATTACTTTTCAAGCAGCCCATATACCTTCCACATACTCAGAGTTGTAGACCTTAACGTAGCATGTTTCTCTGAAGTATCTGTGGTTTACACAAATGTCACTAAAATAGGTTGATTTTTAATAAGTCCATATTTGTACATATTCAGTGTAGAAAATTTTAGAGAATTAGATAAGCAAAATTAAATAAAATACAGAAAAAATATCTTGTTTTTCCTGTATATTCTTATGAGACTTTATTTTCACATTTATCTGTATATTTTCCTACAATGATAGTGAGATCTAATAGATGTATAGTTTTTAAAGTTGTCTTTGTGATTATATGTGTATTTTTTTGTTGTTGTTATCTATACATTTCAAGAATTAACTTATAGGGACCAGCAGGTGGCGTGGTGGTTAAGGTGCTGGACACTCCCACATGGCAGGCGAGGGTTTGAATCCTGAATCTGGTGGCTTGCTTTCTCACTTCCTCTCTCTCTCACTCTCACCCTCTGTCTCTCTCTGGTCAAATTAAAAAAATAAATAAATGAATAAATAAAATAAATAATTATTTAAAAAAAAAGAATTAACTTATGGAGTATGAAACGTCGGTTTTAGAACTAGTAGATGGCATGGCAGTTACATCGCTGGACTCCCGCATGGCTGACTGAGGGTCAACTCCCATACTCGGTGGCATGAAACTCACACTGGACATGTGCATGTGTGTGCCCAAGGCCCCAGGAGGAGAATGAAGGAAAAGGAATTGAGCATGGTCATCCCCCAGGGGGTGATTTATCAATTTCCCTATCACTTCTCTGTCTCTGTCTCTATTCTTCTCTCCTTGGAGAGTACACATGCCCTAAGGTAAAATATATTTTATATATGTGTGTGTGTATGTGTGTGTGTGTGTTTGTGTGTGTGTGTATACAAACAAACAAACAAAAGCATCGGTTTTAAATATGAAGTAAATCCTTCTGCTTGGATATATCATAATATTTTAGGCAGTTCCTTAATATGAACCATTTAAGAATTATCTACATAGTTTGCTTTTATAAGATTATTTATTTGTTCTTATACATTTCTTATACATTATAACACTTGAATATTTAAGAAACAAAATCATAGAGGTAAGCCTTATAAATAGTTAACATACTTGAGAAGATTTCAGTGGGTCTGCTCATTCTAGCTAATTGTGTGGAAAATGTTTATGTCTTTGCTTAGATTAATTTATTTCAAAAAGCATTCTATATTTTATCAGATTTTCAAACAGTGCAATAAACTATACCATTTTAGCTTTCTAGAATGAGCTTCTAATTATCATAATAAATACACATGTGCTATTGGAGTGCTAATGATATAAAAAAGTTGATAACTTTAACAGGTTTTTCTTTTGTCCAGATTGTGCCATGGTACTCCCAAATCATCCCCTCCCACTCCATTCCCATAACTAGCCTAAGTGAGGACTTGTTTAGTATTCAGTTTTGGCGAAGTCTCTGCATAATGTGAATTCTGTGGTTCTGAGAACTATTTTGAGCTTACACTTCGTATTGAGCTGTTATCATTGAATACGCCTTGATGTAGTCCTGTTCTAATTCTCAGTAGGCTGTGCTACTAGTTCTCATACTAGAAAGACTAACTCAACCATTTTCCCATGTATGCCTGAATAAGTTTCAGTTGCTTTTATTTTATTGTATTTTTATTTAATTAATTAACTCAGTTGCATTTAATATAAAGCCTCAGATACCAGAGGGATTTGCTGGTCCTGTGCAGATCTCTTAACTTTCACAGACAGTGCCAGCTCCATGATACTACTCATCTCAAGCAGAGGCAGATGGCAAACTAGTTCTCTGTTGTGACATACTAACCCTTAATGGTATCCAGAACTTGATTTTATTTTCCAGTGCTCAGTGAAGAAATCTGCGGGTAAAATTTATCCCGTTATTGTCTATCTTCTGTGTTGTCGCTCATTGGTATTCTTCACAGCGCTTGTAAACTCAGCAAGTCAGCAGGCTAATCCTGTCAGATTTCAACTGTTTCTTTTCTCCATAATTCTTTTGCTGCCAGAAAACAACTTCTCTATTGTAGGGCCCCTTTTCTTTTATTTATTTATTCTTATCATCACTGTGTCTGTGAACACTAGACAGCATATAAGAAGAAAAAACAGGTCAGGAGTGTGATAGGAAGAGAAGATCAGAACTACCAACACAAACTACTGAGTAACAAAAGACTAGTAGGCAAGAATGGATTTAATTTTCTTGCCAATACACAGCAGGTATAAAACAATTCAGCTTTCTGAAGAAGGGAGAGCTAGATAACGAAGGAAAAATATGCTGGCTCTCCAAATATAAGAACATGTCTCAAAATACTATCCCCAATTCTTAATAGGGCTTTAAGTATTAAATAGCTTAATGAATTTGATTTTTAATATATGTTATTAATTGGTAAATTGGAACATAAATAGTGACATCAAAAACTTACTGCAACTATAACTATACATACTGCAACTATAACTTTTGAAGTAAGAATAAATTGGTAAGACATGCATTTTAGAAAGTATGCTGGTATCACATTTTATATAGCACTGAGATAAAATATATTGTTTATTCAGATAATTCACCACCTTACTTTTCAAATTGAAATGGCTATTGAATTATTTTTCTCTCAAATTAGTGCTATCTTGGGTTTTGGCATGGGTAGCAGGGAACAGTGATATTAGTCAAAATAGTCTACAACTTTTTATTATTACACTGATCATGCATAAGTGGCAAAATTATAAATAGAACATATTCATTAAAGTAATGTGTATCCATTAAATAACTGAACAAAAGGTATTCTTGTCCTCATTCATATGTCACTGTATTAGTCCTGTCTGTGATGCTATAAAAGAGTAATAGAAACTGAGTAATAATAGAGAAAAGAAATGTATTTGGCTCACAATTCTGGAGGCTAGGAAGTCCAAAATTAAGGGGCCACATTTGGTGGCAGTTTGCTTGATTTTTTATCCTGAGGTGGAATGTAGGAGAGCAAGAAAACTCGGATGGTGGGGAAATCAGACCAGACCCATTCTATTGTCAGAATTGTACTCCTGCAAAACACTAATCCACTCCTGAGATAATGGCATTACTCCTTTTGACAGCACAGTGGCCTTATGACCTAATAACCTTTAAAAGGACCCACTTCTAGATGCTATAGTTCTGAAGATTAAGTTTCCAACACGTGAACTGCGGGGCACATTCAAATCATTGAAGTCACTAAGTGACCATACTAGATTTCTATAGAAGAGATATTAAAAAATAATATTTAATTTGAATGTCCTGAAAAGCCATTACTAGAATCCTGATTTTCATAATGAATGCTGCAACTGTAACTTTTGCAGTAATTATAAATTGGTAAGACATGCATTTTAGAAAGTATACTGGTATCTCATTAAATCATTAATTAATTTCAAAATGTCTAATGACATTTTGTAAATTTGCCAAAGGGTGCATGCACTCACTAGAAGGAGAAAGGGAGGAAGAAAGAGAGGGAGAGGAAAAGCAAAAAATCATCTCCCATCAGGAATTGTTACCCTACAATCCCTTCTCCTCCATTTTTCCTTCTGTACAGATACTGGACAAGCACACACATGGGCCTGGGATGTTTTTCAAACTGTCTAGTTTAAGATTTGAACTGCGCAGTCAGCCAAGTGGGATCTGGCTCATGAAACCATGTGGCCAAGAGGTGCCTGGAACATTGTTTTGAACACTATAGTTTTTTTAATCCAACTTCCTTTATCTTGATGTTAAGAATTCACAGGCCTGAGGCAATTCATTACCAATTGTAGTGTTAATTCTGCCAGCTCTTTGAGGAAGCCCTGAATGTTTAACTAACCCAGTTATGCTCACTGGCTTAGAAGGTCCATTGTCATTGGTTCTCTTGTCCCTTCACATCACTAGCCAAGGCAGGATGTCAGCCCAGCACAGTTGCTCTTTTTCTCTCTGCTTCCATTGTCCGTCAATCAGAAGTAACTAAAATCCTCTTCATTTATTTCTATCTTCATTACTTTGTATTTTAAAAAATTCAATTTAATCTCAATAAACTCTGGGGAGGATCTTATAGAACACCGAGTAATATTTCTTTGTTTTTTCTATCACTGAGGTTGTAGAGCTACTTCAACATACAATTTTGTCAGCAGACTAAGATGGTTGATGCTAAAGCCATTATTATATAAAGCCAAACTGTGCCTGAATTCCGTTATCTTGAGCTTTATATTAAAAACTTGCTTAAGCTGTAACTTAGCCAAAGCGTCTATTGAGACTACAGATAATAGCCTCTAGAATATAACTACTCTTTGAAAACACAATCTTCCTTTGTTAAATTTCTGTATCCTTGGTACAATCTCAGTCTCTCTCACCCTTGCCTAAGCTATAAAACCAGAACACGGAATGCTCATTCAATAAAAAAATTAGACTTAAATTAGTTTTAATGTTAACCTGTAACATTTTGACTAAGTATCTTGACTGTACTCCTAATAACTTGCCTATCTATATATTTTTTTTCAAATTACTACAGCTTCAAAAAAAAAAAAAAAAAAACTGTAAGTAATTGTATCCACCACTGTGGGATAATCTTTTCCAGAAGTGTACTGTATATAAAAATGGGCACAATTCTTTCTCCAACTTTCCCTAGTAAGGCTACATTATGTACCACACAGTTATACATTGAATAAACCCTTGGATGTTGAATGATAATTTGGCACTGGACGCCCTGATAGCATCCAAATTAGTAATAAAAAGAGTAAAACTTTCTGTTTTCCCTAAATATCTTCTACTCATAGGTTTTCTTACAAGCACATCTGACAACTTTATTCTGATTGCAGTTCCAGTCTAACATTCATTGCAATATAAATAATGAAACTATCATTAGACACATTATATGTATTTAATGTATTCATATGTAACACAAGTAACAGAAGGGCCCTCTTTTGCAGTAGGCTCACAGTGTCAAGCTGTGCACACTCATGTATTTGTTCACTTTGTTGATTTCAATGAGCTACTAGTTCACAAATTTTTCAAAGATTGACTAGAGTAGGTTTGTAGTGAGACAGGGATTCAGAACACTGGCATGCAAGTGAAAATGCACTTTTAGGAAAGCAAAGAACATACTTCGGGATGAGCAAACAATCACTCTTAAGACTGATTGACAGGTTAAGATTGAGAGCTGGAGTAACAGATTAAATACCTTGAATTCCAGGCTAAGAAATCATTTTGATTAGATTTTGTATTGAAAGAGGGAGATTAATAATATGTGTGTCTCATAGCTGCTGAATAAAACACCAATTAAAAATTTGAAAAAAGAGTCAGTCCTATAAACAGGATTTGAAATAAGACATACATGAATGGAGAAAAAAGAAACCTGAAATTAAATTTTCACAGTTCTGGACTCTGGAAGAAGCAGATTAAGGAGATATGACTTCGGATGGGGACTCTTTTTCTCAAGGACGATATCCTCTGTGTGTCCTCATATGATGGAAAAGTCAAAGGAGCTCTCTAGGTTCCCCTTTTATAAAGGCACACTTCCAACTCATAAGGGTTCCACCATTGTGATCTAATCAGCCCCGAAGATCTCACCTCTCAATATCATCACCCTGGTGGTTAGAATTTTGAAGAAACACCAACATTCAGTCCATAGCCCTGGCATGTCCTGAGTGTCTGCTCTGTGCCAGACTGCGTGAACTGCCCTCCCTGTGTTGCCATCACTGCTGTGTGAGAGTCAGGCCATCGTCTGGTCACTGCTAACTACATGCCATTGATGTGTGCTAGCCTCGTGGACATCCTATCTATAGCTATTAAATAACTGAACCAGTCAGTTCATAGAAGTATCTTGCTTGGTTGGTACTATGAGTATCAGTTTATAGATGAGAAAACTGAAGCTAACTACTCAAAGTATAGAGCTAGTAAGTGCCCAGAGTAATGATGTGATTTAAATGTCTGCTTTTTAAAGGATACACTCTGTCTATTCATAGCTTATATATATGGATATATGTGTGCATATATGATATGTGTGTGTATATTTAAGCAATTGTTGAATTTTTCCATCTGTTCACAATAATATATAGCTCTCTGAAAAAATACGTTTGTGAGTTAAAGCTTTAAATAGCAAACAGAACGTAAGTAAAAAGTAAAGTCCTTTTACTCTTATCAAATTAGTGTTGTATTCCTTGGTTCAGCAAGACAAAATGACTTCCTACATTCTAAGTAAGTGAAGCTCCGAAAACACCAGTCAGGAAGCCAACAATAAGCTAGATGCTGTCACTAAGAGTTCAGAGTGGGCATTGCTGGTCTATTCCTTCTGCCTTATAAGCTCTGAGGTGTAGAGGACGCTGTTCCAGTCCCCTCAGCAAAATGTCAGGAGGCCATGCTGAAATAGCTAGGGCAGACCGTTCAAATCCTCTCTCAGTGTAGTGGCTGGTTCTCCAGCCTCTGGTTATCTGCCCAGACTAGACAGCACGGCACCAATGCTCTCTCTATAACGACACCTTTCAGATTTGTCAGAAGGTTCTCTCAGGATGAGCTTCTGTTCTGCTTGCAGCGTGCTTACCTGCTTAGCCTCTTGTCATGAGAGGTAACAGTCAAGGCTGAGTCCACCATATCCAGCTCAGGAAAGCTGACTGTAAGTTATTGAAATCCACATGGAGCAGATGAATTCTGATTCCATACATACCGTGTCACACTGGCTGTTTCAAAGCTTCTATGATTTCATATTGGTTATTCTACTAGGAGTACAACTAATACTCCTAGTAATACTAATGATAACACTAATACTGCAATCACAATAACAGTCCTCATAACCTTAATTAATTCGGGGATGTAATTAGGTAATAATAGCAATATTTACTTATACAGTCTATGATTTTTTTATGATCACAATTGCTTTTATCCTTTAGAAATGTATCGAAGGTATACATTAGGCTCACTTTGTACATGAGAAAATTTCATTCGAAACTGGTTTCTGTAATACTCAAAGTATAATATCTTATAAATGGAGATAGGGAACTCTAGTCCAGCTCTTCTTACTTCAACACTTTCATTTTTTTTTTTTTTTCCTTTTTTGGTTCCCTCTCAGTTACCTGTAGGCGATTGGAACTACACATACTCTACTTTGTAGTGGATAACATTTCAAAGCATCATTAAGATATAACACTCCCCCGCTTTAAGGATTTGGACTTTGCCACTGACCTTTTCCAGCAGGTTGTACTGTACATGAATAGTTCCCTTTGAAAAGCTCACATAGTGGGCAATCAACCTCTGAACAACTTTCAACTACCAAGCAATGTCAAGGGCCTCTGTAGTGAGTAGCATGCTTCATGTTCAACTTTCATGTGATGCACCAATTTCCCAGAATGAAATTCCTTCACAAGAGAGTCTCAACAAATTTTTAAAGTAGTATTTTTAAATTATGAAAACCTAGCAGTGATTATACAATCTAGTGATTACATCTACATATTTTTGTGTGGAATGTTACTTATCTATGATATTTTTCAAAGTCACTTAGATGGGGGACCAGCAGTTAGCATAATGGCTATGTCGCTGGACTCCCATGTAGTTGACTGCAGTTTGAGTCCCAGACCCGGTGGGTGGCTTGAACTCACACCGAAAGCTAGAAATCACCCCCCAGGGGGGATGGCCATGCCACAATGCCTTCTCCCCCATTCCCCACACATGCGCTTGGAGTGAGTTTACGCCACCAGGTCCTCGACTCGAACTGTAGTCAATTAAGTGGGAGGCCAGCAACATAGCAATTATCCACCAGGTCCTCGCCTCGAACTGTAGTCAATTAAGTGGGAGTCCAGCAACATAGCCATTATGCCAACTGCTGGTCCCATATTAATCTTAAGTAGGTATAAGAATTTAAGTTAAACTGCAGTAATCACTAAATCCAATCTTAGTTTCAGGAAAACATCACAATAACTAGTTCTATTTGTTCCTCCTATATGTAGTATATCTTGATTTCAAAATAAAAAATTGTCATAGCTTCTTTTAATTTTTTCTTATAAAAATGGAAAAATGGGGGCTGACAGGTGGAGTGGTGGTTAAGGGTGCTGGACTCTCACATAGCTGACTGCAGTTTGAGTCCCAGACCTGATAGCTTGCTTTCTCACTTTCTCTCTCTCTGTCTGTCTCATTTTGTTCCTCTCTGGTCAAAAAGAAAGAAAGAAAGAAAGAAAGAAAAGAAAGAAAGAAAGAAAGAAAGAAAGAAAGAAAGAAAGAAAGAAAGAAAGAAAGAAAGAAAGAAAGAAAGAATCTAAAAAAAAGGAGAAATGTGAAACTATAATAGTTCAATGAGTTGATTTTAAATGACCAAGCATGTATATCCTAATAGAAATTACAGATATCAATCCAAGGTTAATAAATAAAATGTCTTTACATATTGAATAGTATTAAGTAATACATTAAAATTTTACATTAATAACTTATGAAAAGACAAGTTACAAAATTTGTGATTGACACAAATCTCGTGCCTTAGATTTTAGAATTGTGATTCAGAAATTTTTTTCTAGGTTAGAGTTATGTATACAATTTAACAAGTTATACATTTAAAAAAAGAAGAGACTTTTCCACAATAAGGTATAATAGGGTCAAGTCAATAATTACGGTACAGGGAAAAGACTAGTTTAATGATGTTTATGAAAAAAGTACTACAGGTACCAGTCTATAACTGACTGTAAACTCAGTGTGAGCCATCAGCATACTACAGATACTAAAAGAAAAATTAAGTCATTTTTGGTGCATTCGTGTACCAGTGATTATAAGAATAGGAATGCCTAATTGTCAGACTAGGAATGCCATGGGCCCTTTTCACTGGCCTCATCACATCAGTGCTGGGGTGTGCTGGTATGTTCAAGACATTGTGTTTCATTTCAAACTTGGCACATTTCAAAATCAAAACTAATAAGAGCACAGGCAATTTTTGAATTGCATGCCAATTAGAAAGATGGCTTGTCTGGAAAATGATCATATCAAAAGGGTTTCATAACTTATCTAAGTGACTCTCAGGCATCTTAGGGAGGCAGAGATGAAGAGAATTTTAAATATCAGTGATACACACACGCACACACACACGCACACATTTTCTATGAGGGATGAGGCAGCATGTTACCTTGGTACCTGTTTGTCACTTGAAATATCTACAGAGATTAGTAATGGTGATGATACATCTTTATGTTTAGATGGTACTTTATGCCAGAGTCAAAATAACCCTGAGAAATATGTCTTGTTTTTGTTTTTTTTCTTTTTTTTTAAATAAAGGCTTTAAAGTCAGAAAAGTTAATCCATTCGACTTGTTCACATGTCTTGTAAGTATCTGTAACTATCTCATGTGTAATGGTGCTTGTGAGTGCATAGGTTAGATAGATACATAGCTGGGACTACAGGTACTTGTTGCCATACATTAAATAGATCTAAGTCTCTTGCTACCTTAAAATCCCATAATGAATCCAATGTTTTAAATTTTATTGTAATTTAATAACCACATTAATTTATTATTGATTTTCAGATTAATCAGCACATTAATATTGTCACTGCATAGACAAATAAGCCTTGGTATATGATATTTTCAACTCTGTGTTAGAAAAAAAAACAGTGATCAGCTGGTATTTTTTTAAGTCTTTAAAATATGGTAATGACATTGGATTTAAAGTGATTATTATGTATAATAGAGCAAGGAAACAATATGATTTCCTTGGGGGTTTATAAAAATAATTGAAAATATATATAGTAACTCTATATGTGTGTGTCAGCTATCTTTGATGTCAAGGACCTGAGGCCCAATTTTTGCCTATGACAAGGCAATTAGTTTTGGTTGGCTTCCCCTAGATAGTTTTCCCCATCATAATATATTAGAACTTTATTTCCTCCAAGCAGAAGACTGTAATTCATTTTTCAAGCCCTTCAACATGTTTCTCAGGTGATTTCTTGTATTTGGTCTATACCAAAGTAACATTGCTTTGGGTATCTAGAAAGTGTGAAGAGTTTCAACTTAAATAAAAAATAATCATAAAGTAAAAAACAAAATACAGTGCATTAAGTAGAAAATAAATCCACAACATATGTTATGGTAAATTGAGAGATCAACAACAGATTTTTGTATTAAAAAATTTTGCTTATTGCTGGATATTCTCGAAAAATTGGAAGTGACTGTCACATATGCCCATGATGTGCTTAAAAAGACTTGAGACATAGGGACCAGCAGTTAGCGTAATGGCTATAATGGCTATGTCGCTGGACTCCCACGTAGTCGACTGCAGTTCAAGTCCCGGACCTGGTGGCTTAAACTCACGCCGGGCGCGTGTGCGTGCGTGCCCAAGATCCCGAGAGGAGAATGGAGGAGAAGGGATTGCGGCATGGCCACCCCACCTGGGGGGTGATTTCCTGCTTTCTATCTTTCTGTCTCTCTCTGTCTGGTGAGCACACGCACCCTATAGCAAAAACCTCTCCAAAAAAAAAAAAAAAAAAAGATTCTAAAAAGACTTGAGACATATATGCAGGGTTGGACTTCCAAATGACCACAGAAATCCTCATCAAGAAAGAGGACATGACTTATGACTTATTTTCTTCTTTCAACACCCTTTTAGTCTGTTCTCTCTCTCTCTCTCTCTC